ATATACAGGCTTTCAGCCCTACCTAGCCCTATGTCATTACCAAAAGTGATACGAGTCATGCTCTACATGGCCAAAGGCACAAAGCCAATACCAGAAGTGATACGAGACATGCTCTACATGGCCAAAGGCATAAATCCAATACCAGAATAATACGATACATGCTCTACATGGCCCAAGGCTCAAATCCATTACCCAATTTGATACGAGACATGCTCTACACGATCAATGATATAAAACCAGAATAACACAAGAAAGCACATTGAACATATAACACATAACATACAATTGTCCCTATATTGAACTCACCGTGAAATAACCGAATGTTGTGATGAAATTACCCCTTAAGTGCGTTTTTACCGGTAGAATATGACTAGACACTGTCAGCAGTTAACGATCGTCGGCTCGGGAAATAGCTCAAAATCAGCAATACGGGAGAGAGGGTTGCGTTTTTGTGTAAACGGAAACAAGAGGGCTGATCCTCCATTTATAGGTCGGAAATTTGACTCTCACGTCGTGAGCCATATAAGCTCACGTCCTGAGCTCGATCCTGGTCAGCTCGTAGGCCTGCCGCGTGTCTTCTAGGCTTGAGAGGTGTCGATCAACTACTTCACGTCGTGACTTTGGTCAGACCTCGAAGTTTGTGTTCCGAACTTCAGAAATTCATATATTGCGCATATGAACTCCGTTTTTGACGTTCTTTATATCCACCCGTAGGTGAGATTATACTCTACAAATTTCGTTTAGACTCTGTCGGCTTATTTTGACTTCATTTTTAATATTATATTTTTAACAGGACGAGACAGGAAAAGTCCGTTAAAAATTCATAACTTCTTCATCCGATGTTCGTTTTCGTCTGTCTTTTTACCGTTGTACTACTATTGACGAGACCTTCGATTATCGTTTAAGTTGTGTCGGCTAAAAATCACTCGATCTTTATTTCGAGTTGCGGGTTGTGTACTGCTATGCCGAATCTTAGAAAAATCATAACTTCCTCATACGAAGTCAGATTTGGACGTTCTTTTTATGAAAGCTCTCGGTTTAACGAATACTACAACTTTCATTTAGATTACTAAAGTTAAAAAGTAGTTTATTGAAAACTCACTTTTTACGTCATATAACATCGTACCGGTTCTGTCGCGAAACTTTAATGAGTCATAACTTCTTCGTTATAACTTGGATTTCGATGAGGTTTTCGTCTAAATGTTTCTAACGATATAATCTACAACTTTCAATAACATTATTTTTACTTATTTCCAACTTAATATTTTCGTTAATTTCAATAGTTGACTTTTGATTGGAATCTCATAAGACTTCCAATACTTTCCGAATGATTCTAAACATAGTTTTACTTCAAATCTCGTAAAAACTATCTTGTTAGAATTCAACGCTCAAAATCATATAATATTCAATAATATTCACTAACAGACTTGCAAAATACGATAATTACACTAGGTTAATAATGTGCATGTTACAAAGAAAAACTTAAAGGTTTTTGTGTAGAAATGCATACATGCATACAAATCACATACAAACTTCACAAAGAAAATAAACTTAAAGGTTTTTTTGTTGGTTTGAAGTCTTATGACCACTTTTCGAGATATATTATTATGTTATAGCTTTTAATTTGTAAGTTTGTTATTTACTAATTCGTTTTTTAATTTTTTCTTGGTTTTTGGATTCTTTTAATACAATCGTTGTATGTTGTGGTTTAATCGTTAATATATATTAGATCAGATACATGTTATCAATCATATGGTATATAGCGTGATGTGGATAATATTTAATTAGATATGTTAAATATGATTGTTGTTTTGTATGGCTTCGAAAAAAATAACTAATTAAAAGTCACAGATATGTTAAATTTTCCATATAAGTATGAAAGAGATTTTTCATTTCACCACAGTGGCGGAGCAAAGAATTTTGATACGGGGGTACAAATATTTTCAATATATATTCTATGTAGTTATCCTATCTCGGGCATTAAAAAACATTGTGCAATCTCTTTAGCTGAGAGTACAATAACATAGAACATGTTTACAAATAATTATTGTTTATATATAAAAAAACAAATAATTATTGTTTATATATTTAAATAAATGCAAAGCGTAAATTATAATCCTAAAATTAACTAAACTTCAATATTAAATAAACGTATTTAACTTCTGCTTATAAAGTTATGTCTTTAACTTTTAAGATATTATATTTAACTTATTAGTTTTGATATGTTGACGTATGTGAAAAATTGTCAGTTTAAAATTACAATTTTTAAATAGTTTGTTTACAATTCTTAAATTGTTAATTTAAATATAGCATTAAAATGTTAACTTAAATAGAAAATTTAATAAACTTAAAGAAAATCCAAGGAATATTTTATAAATAGTTATAAGTTATAAATTATAGTGTTAAATGTAACACATAAATTATAATCCTAAATCTATTTTTATAACCATTATTAATTTCTAAATAAGTAGTTTATAAATAACTTACAACAATAATAGTTAAAATGAACATTATATAAAAGATTATATTGCTACATATAAAAACAAAAACAATGTTTTGGATGTTTTAAATAACTACAATGATAGAAATTAAACAGTTAATCAATTAAAGTTTTAAAAAATCAATTAATCATAACAACAACTATAAATAACATTAAATCATATATTCTATTTAATTTTATTTATGAGTATCACGTACACGTAGGCAGAGGTCATTGAGACCATTGAGATTATATAGTTTAATAGATATCTACCTTATCATATAATTCAAAATAATCAAATGTTTTATACTAAATTATTATAAGAATTAATATATCAAAGTTAACAATGTCATTTTTATATTTAAACAATATATATTTAAAACTTTATAATTGTATTCTACGCAACGCGTAGGGATGTCAACGGGGGCAAATGGGACGGGGAGTACATCCTCATCCACCGCCCCCATTCCCCCGCCCCCGATTGATTTTGGGCTGCCATTTTTTTTGCTAAAAGAAGTTGTTGTTTGGGCTAAAAAAAACTATTTTTTTTGTAACAAATAATTATTTATAGCATAATTTTACATGTTAAAAACAAAGAATTATGGCATCTTAAAAACATTATAATAACAACTTAAAAACATATTTTTTGTTGAATTTTGAAAACTCGAAATCATATTATTATTTATTATATTTATATAATTAATATATGTAAATATATGTATATTTTATTAACGGGGGCCCCATGGGGGTTTCAGAACGGGACTGTCCTCCCCTGCCTCCGCCCCCGAAATTAAAACGGGGGTTAACCGGCCCCCGTCCCCGTCCCCAATTTTTTTAAATAAACCCCCAAACGGGACGGGGCCCCCACGAGACTTTTTGACATCCCTAGCAACACGCAGATATTCGTCTGATAACTTGGTAATCCGCTAAAACGGTGTTAGGTTGGCATAAAAATTTTCGCCATGCATCATTTCCATCAATAAAGGGCATAGGCATTACCATCGAAAATAACGTGACTATGTCATAATTACGAGGGTATGGGTCTTACATAGGACTTCGCATCATAATTTTTAACATTCCCTTTGAATCACCACGGAGAGGAACAAAACTTTAGGGATCTCTTGTTAACATGTATAAAAAGTCTTGCACTCAACATATCATACCTCTAGTCTTATAATTTACCATGGTCTAGGCAGTGGCGGATCTAGAATGAAAGTTAATCGGGGTCCATTATATAGTTTTCGGCCACTGTGAGCAGTTTCCGGTGACTCGCATGAACCTTCATTTACATGAACATTGGCCGTTGTTATCAAGATTCACATGTAGGTCAATGTTCATAGTGGTATGGCCATACTCGAGCTAAAGGTATTTGATATCATAATTTTTCATAACTCGCTCAAATGATATGTTATTTGTGTTAAACGTTGTCCTTACAATAAAAAAAATCTTGTGTGTAGGTCATAATTTACCATGGCCTACTCTTACTCAAAACAACCGAACCAGCTTTTGTATCATAATTCTACATAACTCGCACAAATCAAGTTGGATTCGCATGAAACATTGTTTAATCCCCCTTTGTCATGGATGAAGGGTCTTGATGTCAAGAAAATTTCATGCTATGGTCGTAATTTACCCAATCGTAGTCTTAGTTGAGTTGAAAAGGCGTCAGTTTAGCAATTTTCCATAACTAGCTCTTTGTGGGTTGTCACTAACACAAATAAAAAGACTTGCAGTTAATCTTGATTTAGGGCAGTAAATTTATCGTGTCACGGCTAGTGAAGTTGACTTTCCATGCCTTATTTTTGTGTAACTTGATCGAATCAAATTGGATTGGTGCTAGCTGGATCTTTAGGTGAGCTCTCACTAACATGAAAAGAATGCCTCACAATAAAAAATCTTATCATTTTCCAACTATAATTTCACATGGCCGATTCAACATGGTCACCTACATCATGAAGTTGGACCTAGTGATTGACCATGATGCAAGAAACATACACGGTTATGTGAGTCATTGGCATGGCACATGTGGGAAACATGCATGGATCATACATTCTCATAGACTCAGCATTGGCTTAAGAAACATGCATGGATCACACATTCTCATAGACTCGCATTGGTTAAGCCGACAAACAAACAGTGTATGTAGGTCATGGTCGCTGACTACACACCTTGGGCACCTGCCCATATTTTAAATGCAAAGTGAAGGACATGCCATGTCACTATAATTGTCATAAAAAGCACAACCAGACCAATGTTGGTTTCTGTTTCGGTGAACATAACATAGGTGGCAGTGAGTGAGCGTGATGCAATAAAATAAACCAAGTGGGAAGAATCTATGGATCTGAAGGATGAGACCCTTTCTCGTGTTCTCGTGATCACTTGCCTGTGCTTTTGATCGACACTCAAGGATTATAACAGTCCTATCCATGATCCCCCATATATATACATTTTACACAGATAATAAACATTTATTTTTGGTTCTTAATCCCGTTCAAATCACACCAGAACTTGTCATGTGGTGGTGTTTGCAACACAACACAACACAACTGAACACATGGAAATGAACTTGTCTAACCAACAAAACAAAATGAAACGTGCGTATTTAGGGGGGCTTGCTAATGCTAGCTACTTACTACTACTGAATACTGATAGTCAAGTCAGTCATATATAATCCAAAATATATAATCATAATGTACAAGCCTGGAGGGAGGGAGGGAGGTTTCAAAACTTATGATGAGGAGTAGGAGGAGAAGGAGGAATTAATGTGGTGGTGCTAACTTGGCTAGAATGACCATATCTAATATTTTAACATCAAGAGTGTCATCCACTTTAACGATTCCATCTGTGCCATCCACACCAATGAGCTTCCCTGTAGCCCCACGCTGGGGCCCACCCATTATCTTTATTTTGTCTGACTTCCTTGGCACTACCACCTCCATCTCGTTCGGGCTGGCAGTGATCACATCCCCACCAACAGCTACTCGACATGCCCCATCCTGACACGTACCCCACCCCAATTAATCATATTCATATTCATATAATTAAAAAACATATTTATTCACAACACACAATACCAACCAATAGCACTTCTCGGATGACACCAACGACAGCATCTTCACCTGATCTGCGTACATTCACCAATATGTCTGGCAGGAACCATGGTCCATCGTTATCCCCACCTGCAAACACACAAACACAAATGCAAATATATTAATATTAACTATAAGGAATCCATTGGTATACAAGTACAATTTACAACACACACTGACCTACTACAGGTGACATCATATCCAACCCACCACCACCAGGAGTCATTGGTTGGCCGCCTGGTGTACCAGGTAAATATGTTGAGCTTGGTGTCATGGGCGGCTGTCCACCAGGTGTCGATGGCAAGTAAGGGCTTGGAGCATTACCTGCAGTAACATACACACAACACATGATATATCCTATCAATAACTTAACTAACAATTAACATGATGAGAGAGAAAAAAAGTTTAAGTTACCATAGGAGGCAGGGGTGGTATCCCTATCCCTACTATCCCTTGGTGTGCCAGCTTCACTGTAACTTCCACCAGAAGGAGTATTGGCCCATCCTGAACCGGGAGTTGGTGCTTCATATGCTCTTGAACGAGGACTTCCCGGCTGCATATCATATCATACATTTATTATAAACATTAATCTTTTATTAATTAATCAAAGGGACTAGTGCTCACTTGATACTGAGGACTGCTTCCCCAAGAACCAGGGTTTCCATCTTCCCAAGATTCCCTAAACAAAATAATCCAATCCAATCCATGTCAAAATTCTCTTCTTTTTTGGTTTAAACAATCATGATATCATGTCTTATGAAAAAGAAAAAGACAGGTAGCAAGCTACAAACCTGGCAGGACTCATGGGTGCGTATGGATTCCATGCTCTGTCACGCATAGGCGTCCTCATTCCATCATGAATAGGTGTTGCTGATGGAAAATTCAAATTCGTTAAACATGAAACATGAAAAACAATTACTTACTATGCATGAAAAAACCAACCAACCTGCAGAATCCCTCATAGGCGTCATATATGGATGGAGTGGGGTTCGTGAAGGATGCATAGGTGTCTCACTTCCAGACCCATACCTATGTGTCTCACTGATATATATATATATATATATATATATATATATATATATATATATACACCATAAATAAAACAGTTATGAAGGTGCCTATCTAATCTTTCTAAGATTAAAAAAAAAAAAAAAAGGGTGGGGTCCATTCAATATACCGATATGGGGCCGTCTTGTTCACATTATCAGAGACATGAGTCCGATCAACTGCGAAAAGTAAAATAAACAGGAGTCATTAACAGCAAATGGGCTAAACGATTATACTTTTTTTTTAAAATTATTAGGAAATTGTTTGTACTTTGTGTTGTGAAATGAAATGAACAAAAGTAGTGTTAGGGTTAGGGTATTTATTGCTTGCCTGTAACAACCCTCATTTGTGACTCCAACTCGACCCGAACTGATGTGCCACTAACATCCTTAACCCGGCCTCTGTATCCTTTGAAGGGACCTTGGCGGATTATAATGCGTGTTCCAACGTAAGAATCTTTAAACCCTCTGCCACCACCTCTGTTCCTCCCACCAGCTACATACATATATCATATAAATCATAAATCATAAATCACATCCTATTCTCATTAGCCTGCTTTTTTCATTTGCTAATTAATAATAATAATCAAAAACTAAACTCACGTAGTGGTGGGGCTCCTCTGGTAGATCTACCCGGGGAATTAGGAATACGGTTGGGATTCCTAAGTTGTGCAACTCTTGATGCCAATGGATTGCCCTAACAAGACATGTTTAGTTCATCAAAATTCAAAACCAAATAGTATAGCATAGTATAGTATGATCCCAAAAACTACATACATTTCTATCACCATTTCCAAGGGACCCGCCAACCAATACGCATGCTTGAGATTTCGCACAGATAAATCCTGCATGCTCCAGATGATGCCGATCGTATATAAACAGAATTCCTCTGTAAATATGCTCAACCGGACCTTGTCGCCCCTATTTCATATTATAAAATTACATCAGTAAGTAGATGAACACCTTATTTAAACAGGAGCTAAATGCAAGAAACGCCAATGTACTTCCATTCCATTGCTTTGTATGATAGATAATATGCTTCCAACTTTTTTTCGCATCAAGACATTGATTGATTAAGCTATAAGCTTTTTCTTATTAGGACATTACACTTTTCCCAATTATATTTATAGCAGTGAAACTCGTTTTTTTTGTAATATAATAATCAACAGATCAATGGAAGTACAAAGCTATTTCTAGGCAGCATTTAACCCTTTCAGAGAGAGAAAAAGTGTGTGTGTGTCTTGCCTTGCATGGGCCCTGAAGAACTTTAACTACATCTTTCACTGATACTGTGTTCTTATAATAATCTGGAGCATTTAATTTCTTATCAATCTTGTATTTAATATCTCTCAACCTAACAAGTTCAACCTCCGCTCTATCTGCAACACCCTTGAGAACCTGTACAAAAATACTAAATTACATAATCACCCACCCAATTCCAAGTTATTCAGCTGCCTACAATTACAAAACATCAAACCCACCCACCTGAAAGGCTTCACTGTCAACACGTATGATCACACCAAAATTGGAATTACTACAAAAAAAAATCAGAAAAAATATATAAGATGGCAAACTTAGCAAAGCAATGATCGAGCACATTCTGTATGTAGAATGAAAGCTAGCTTACTCCAGCTGTACAAGATCATGAAGCTCATAATCCCCAATTTTGGTGATGCCAGATGTTACTTCAGAGCTCTCCACAACATTGTCAGAAAATACTTGTAGCTGAAAAAAGCATCAAGTGTCATTCACTAACTACTAGTTCCATTAGGTTTCTTTATTTGTTACACAGGAAAAAAAACAGGACAAGATTTCTAAGGCTATTTCCAATGGAGAGGAAGAGAAGGGCATTCACGTCTTTTGCACAGACCACCTAGATTTTTGAGAGCCTTCATAACAAAATACTTACAACTTCTTTGGTAGTATCTGACACCATGTTAACCAAATGCCCCTTAGCAGTTAAAACCATTCCAGTCACACCTTCTTGTGCACCAGAGACAACTTTCACATGATTCCCTGTCTCAAAGTATTTGCAGAGCTCTCTTTCACTTACAGCAAGAGTTTTCTGCAAACCACAAAAACTATAAACAATTACATACCAGCAATTATATATATATATACATATATATATATATATATAAATTATATTACATATTAGCAATAGCATCTTGAATCTTGATTAGGGTAATAAAATGGAAGATGTTATGTTTCTTACGGGAAGTCCAGTCGCATGTGGTTTAATATGAACAGTGCCTTCTTCTACTTTCTCTACAGAGCCCTTGAGATTTTTGAGGTCCCCCCTTGATAACAATGACTCTATCGCCCTTCATAAAATGTCCTTTCTTTCTGTTTGCAAATAGTGATGATAAACTAGCAATATCTCCATCCCCATTTTCATTTGGTTGCCGAAACTTTTCAAGTTCATCGAAACTTGGTTGTATATTCTGAGTGCTTATTGATTTCATGGATACAGTTTTATATAAAAAGCCATCCTTAAACATCATGCCATTTATATTTTCAAAGTAATCACCAGTCATTGGATCTCTCCTCCGCTCAACACGAATATGCATTTCTCTAAAAACATCAATAAGTAATACATGATGAAAAATGTATAAAAGAATAAAAATATTACTGAAAACTAAACCCACCTTGCTTCATCAACATTCATAAAGCGTGGTGGAGGGGTAAATGTCTTCTTCTTTGGAACCTCCCTACCCTCCTGAAATGCATGTCACACACACAAGAACACAATCAATCATGATTAAAAGTTCCTTTATATAGATATTTAAAATTTATAGAAAAACAAATAAGACATAATACCAATTTGTTTGCCAAGGCCTGTAAGTCGATCCTTGGGATTAGTTTCACAGTAACCCTCTGCCTAACATTATCCACATCCACAACCTACACACAAAAGAAAGGAACTTTATTAAGTTTAATATGATAACTTAGCAAAAAATAAAAAGGGTTATTATTACCTTTGCAAGGTCCCCTTTGTATGTACCAATTTTCATTCTGACCCAAGTATCCCTTGAAAGATCAATTGCTTTGCTCTCAACCGAAAGAACATCAGTCATTTCCTTTATAGGCACCAGCAAAATCTTACTGCCTGTAAATATATTACGCATACCCTTGCAAGCCTGAACCCTCACAAAAATCATATTAGTTACTAGAGGTGAACAAAACACGCCTCTACATATCAGAGGGTTCTCATAGATTTTCTTATTAACTCACCTCTTTCACATGGGCTTCTTTATCTGCTTCAATGTAGACATAGTTCTTCAAATGGTCAAGGGCAATAGCTGATCTAATCTGCAACTCGGAACCTCTATCAATGCACTTTTGCATTAAGCAAACAGCCACCTCTCTCTCGTGACCAATCTAGCAATCAATCATGGAATGGAAAGAAGAGAGAATTAATGAAAGAAATCACTTGATTCCGATATAAAGATGGAATGGATTTGAATTATAGTTTGAAAAAGGGTATCTATCTGGCATACATACCGCACATTTCACCATCCATAATTTGGGATCACGAACAGATGGTAAGAGAGCTTGTTGTTCCACCTCTGTGGCATCATCATCATCATATTCTGTTCGGTTTCTAGCAAACCTCTCCTGAATTATTCTCTCAAGAGCTTCAACATCTTCCTGATCATCTTCACGTGAAAGCAAAGGACGATGATGCATCCTTCTCGCACCCTCTTCTTCATGCGGATCAACTCTCTCATTCACTATGAAGTCTGTAATGTATTGTATGCCAAATCAGCAACAAAAATGCTTCAGATTGTTTTATGTTTTATAAAACAAACAGATTTTGTTGGAAATGGTTAGAATGGTAATCGTTTGTCATTCATGTATCCATTAAATACAAATCCAACAACTCCTCTTTTCCTTTCTACACCATTTCAAGAGTAGACAGAGCCTCTATAGGACTTTGCACTTAACCAACAACTGAGTTTTAACAAAAAGGTCATTAGAGTTGCTAGATTGATCACTAACTCAACATCAATTAGCCATGTAGACTAGAAACTTATGTTACAGCATCCTATAATTGCAACAAGTAGTGAGGGATGTAAGATTGTTACAATTAAAAATGGTTGAAGGGCATCACCTGCAAAACCTTAAGCATACTACCACTGCAGCCTATAGAACTAATCACAAAGGACAAGAACACAAACAAGTAAAGCTAAAGCCTATACCTAAGCATGGTGAGAGTACACATTTTAATAAATTTATACTTTACTTGTCATTGCACTTGGTATAAGATTAAAACTAAGAAGAACAAGAACTTAAAACATTAGAGAAAATAATAAAGTGAGGAGATGTGAAAAAATATAAGAAGCACTAACCATCTTCGCCATCTTCTTCCTCCTCTTCTTCAGCATCTGTGTCAACGTCGGCTTCAAGCTCAAAGAAACCAGCACCAGATGCTTTTTTTGATGCTTTCCCTCCTCCTCTGCGACGGCTACCACCACCACCGCCGCCGCCACCATAATCTTCATCATCTTCATCGTACTCCTCCTCTTCATCTTCATCTTCCTCAGCAACATCATCAATAAAATCAGATCTCCTCCTCTTACGATCACTGCCGCCTCCTCCACGGCTAGTGCCATAATCCTCATCATCATCATCATCAACCGGGTCATCCTGATCCTCATCCACATCATCTTCATACTCATCTCGCCTGCGAGGCATACTGCAGAATGTTTATGGAGGAACTGGAATCTGTCAAGGAATTGGAATATGTCAGGAATTGAAATTGAATCGATTTTAATGATAAGAATAGTAAATTTTCATTTTGTTTATCCCATTGAACCAATTTTACCCCATGAAGACAGCGACATAATCAACATTAACTTTTTTAGTTTACCATTGAACCAACAAACTGATGGTGTAGACAATGGCATGTTGAATGTTTGGTTTCTTTGTAATTAAAATCAGAATGGTAATGGATATTTGGGTTCGAAATCAGTATCAATTTCAAAGGGTGAACCGTTTTAGAGGTCTTTGATTGAAAGAAACAAGATTTAAAATCAACATAACCGACATATAAAAAACTACAGCAGGCATCGATTTCCAGAAAAATTCCAATGAAATTGAACACAACAAGCAGCGATTTCGACAGAAATTCGATTGTTCAAAGTTTGATTCCATACATAAAGCAGCGATTAGGGGAGGGAGAGGGAGGGAGATAGACTCACCTTTGAAGATGTCGCCGGAGCAACCTAGGGATGACGTCGTCTGAGTGGGCAAATGGAGAAGACGATTGGAACGAGTCCGTCGGCTGGAGAAATAGAAAGAAAAAGATTGATTTTCTCTAAGGAAATAATTGGGAGTTTTGCTCTACGGAATGCGAAACCCTAGAAACAGAGTTTTGGGAATTTGTGATTATATAGCAAATGGAAAAAGCGAGATTGCACTTACCCCTGATGCGTCGTGAAAACGGAAAATCGAGAAATCGTCAAATGGCAAATCGTTCAAACAACTAAAGCAGTGCGTCGAGAGCTTGCTTCGGTGCTTCCTGACTTCCTGTCGACCACTCTCCTTGCGTGATTGCGTCGTCTTCAGTCTTCACGGATCGATCGATTAGTTTTAGGGTTCATGCGACTCTGTGTAGTGTGTTCCGTTCAGTTAGCGTTATAGGGTAAGGTTTGGCCTAACGACGTCGTAAGCTTCATACCAGTCTTTTGCCTTTAAACAAGGGAAATCGAATAAATCCAAAAATATCATTTTTAATCCAACGACTTGTAATCTTAATCTCTAAATATTATTAAAAGGTAACCCTTAATTCACCAATGAAACAATCAGAACCGTTGATTGTATTTCAATCTTATGTTTTTCATATTTAGATCAAATTGCTGACATCATCTTCCCCAAATAGAATTCAAACTTTTAATTATAGAATCTCTAAATTCACATTTCGAACACAATTACATTTAATTATGGAATCTTTAATTATAGAATATATCCCTATTTTCTAAAATATATTTCACAATTCGAACACAATTACATTTAATTATAGAATCTTTAAATTCAACAATTATGTTATCAATTGAAGCATATCATTTTCTTTATATACGGGATATCAGTTTCTCCATAAATATGGCCAAAAACATTAATAACCGTCCTATCTTTCTCCTCTATTTTTCTCTCTTAAACCCTAATTCCCTAATCCTCTTCGTCTTCATGTCAATGATTGTGCTTCAATTGATGATTTGTTTGTTCATAACAGAACGTAGAACCACAAGGTGGTTCCTTTTTGCTCATGTATTCTTAGAATTTATGTTTTGCATCTTCCTTACATCTCCAATTATCACACCACCGTTTTGGCTTCACACAAATCTCTACAAACCCAAGCATGCATCTCCTTCAAGACATCTTTTGACAATCTATGTCATCATTAACCCTAATTAATATTGTTTTTCATTTTAACTCCCTTATATATATAGCTTTTGGCTTCAAAATTCAAACTCGTTTAACTTTTTTTTTTTAAAAAAACTTATTAAATAAGCATATCAATAATTTGGTTATTAACATATAAAATCTAATTTAATCCCATTAAATCACCAAAATATTTGAGAGTGAAAATTAAAGTAACTATTATTCATAATTTATCTCTCAGTATATCCTACGTAAAATAAATCAATTTGAGATAATGGTTTGAATTTTAAAACTTATTAAATAAGCAAGTCAATTAATTTGAAATTTTAAATCAATATAATTGATATCATTCTTTTTTCCAGATGAATAGCCGAAAATCTCCAAGATGATATCTTATTATCCCAATTTTTTTTGGAAGATAGTGATTTCCTTATTTAAAAACACCTTATATATACGATTTCATTGAAGTTGCTATTCTTACGATTTTGGATTGATTCCTACGATTTACAGTATTCTTCTTCAGCGGTATTCTTCTCCCAAAAAAATTCTAGGTTCTTTCTTTACTCTGTTCTTATTCTTCTTCTGCAATTTCTTGCATTTATTTTGTTCTTATTACATGTTAATATTGTATTCATGTTGAGAGGTCGTGAAGGGTTTCCGGTCGTGAACTGTTTTCGGCCGTGAACAGCCCCTTGAAGGGTTTACGACCGTGAACGGTGTTCTTGAGGAATTTATGAATCTTGGAAGGGTGTGTGGCCGTATACGGTTTGCGGCCTTTTAAGATTTAAAGATTTGAAGGGTGTACGGCCGTAAACTCAAGAACAATGATGTTGGATTCGATGAAAAATGCGTTTTAGATGCTCCAAGACAACCTTCAAATGTGATTCTTGATGATTTTTGGAAGAAAAGAGGGTGTTTTGGTGTTTACGGTTGAGATGTTTAGAGAGGGAATGAGGGAGTTTTCGGCCTGGAAAGTGTAAATGGGGGATAGATGCTCATATTTATAGGGGGTTTCCATGGTCGGTGGTGGGGGCCACCTATCACTAGCCGTGCACGGGTTTACGGTCGTAAACGGGTTTACGGCCGTGAACATCACTCAGGCCGAAAACTATTGATTTTTCAAAGGAAACTCGGGTTTTTCGCGTGATTTTGGTTCCGACTCTTATATAAAGTTCAATTATATAACTAAATGACTTTCCAAACCAAGGAAATTTGACGGAACTCCATAAGATTCAAATTTTATTAACGGAATCGAGCTAAGGGGCTGTTTGATAGCCTCTTAATCTGTAAATTAAGAGGCAGACTCTTAAAAATTCAGATTTAGACCGTTTGTTTGCCTATTATTTGTTGCCTCTTAATTTTGTTAATACCTCTTAAAGTTTCAGATTTAGAGCCATGTCTGAACTTAAAAAAAGACACGCTTTCCCTTCCTGCCCTAAAACTTCAGCGCTCTTTTTCGTCACTCCATACTTCACCAAACCAGCGTTCGTTTCTCCCACTCAACCCTTTTCCGAGCTGCTTCCCTTCACCATCGACTTCGTCGTCGACAACCCCTCCAGCGGCGCCGCCTCTTTCATCGTCGTCTGTAGTGCCGATTCCCTTTGTCGAAGTAGCCAAATTTTCCGATTCCAGGTGTGATTGTATTCCTTTGCCCTAAAAATCGATAATAAAAGCTATAGTTAATCGGATCTCTGTTTTGGGTGAGGATCTAAGACGAAGTGGTTGAACTCATAGGAGTTAATCAGTGAGTTGCTATGAAATTTGTGACGAGTTCTATACATTAGGTGCGATGACTTGTGGCTTTCCTGGAAATCCATGAAATTCGACATGCTACTGTGAGGCTTCCTACTCAATACATATTCATTATGTATTATACAATAATCAAATAATTGATTATGGTGGCATCAAAATGTTACATCAGATGGTTAAACTTGTTCATATACAAGATTTAGAGGGCTCATTTTCTGGTTATAATTTATAAACTTCTTTTATTCATGTATTTCATTTCAAATTCAAATCAATGAGAATTTAATTTATGCATTTAGTGTGTATGCCCTGGTGTTTACATGTCGTTCATTTGTGATGTGCAGCTGGAAGCTAAGTTGGCTTTATGGAGGGAAGAACAACAAATGTCTAGACCTGAAGCAATGTTGGGAGGAGCTCCAGGAGGACATGGACATGAAATTCTGTCAATACTTTGAAAGTTATGGTGATATAACTGATGTAGTAATCATGTTTGACCAAACCACCAATAGACCTCGTGGATTTGGTTTCATCTCATTTGACATATAAGATGATGTTGATAGAGTTCTTCAAATTCAAGAGACCTTCCATGAACCCAACAATAAGTTTGTTGAGGTGAAACGAGCACTTCCTAAAGACGATATTCCTGGCAACAGTTTTGGCTAATATGATATGCAAATGGATGTTAATAGATTCCTGCAACAAACCTCCGGTTTGGGGCGAAAGGTGGTGGATTTCGAATGGTGTTGGTGTTTATATTTGGATCTTGTATTTAATTTGGATTTTGTATGGTGCTTATATTTTTTTATAATTATTCAAGAAGTTGGTTAAATTATTTTATACAATAGAAACATTGAATTTAACTGAAAATAATATAGAAGGGTAAAATGGTCATTTTCCTTATTTAGCACATTAACTGAGAGGTTCCAACCAAACAATATGTTAAAAAATCAGATCTTAAAAATTCAGAGCCTCTTAGAAATTCAGATCTTAAAAATTAAGATCCTGCCAAACAGCCCCTAACTTTAACGGAAAAAGATTCGGGTTGTCACATCATCCCCTCGATAGAGGGAATTTCGTCCCGAAATTCAAATACATAATACAAATCATGGACTCGGAAAGAGATGAGGATACTTTTGTTGCATTAAATCTTCGCGCTCCCAAGTGAATTCAGGTCCCCGCTTGGCATTCCAGCGGACCTTCACTATCGGTATGCGACTTTTTTTTCGTTCTTTTGACTTCCCGATCCATGATTTCGACTGGTTCTTCCATGAAATTAAGGTTCTCGTTGATCTCGATCTCATTAAGAGGGATCACAAGGGTTTCGTCGGATAGGCACTTTTTAAGGTTCGACACATGGAAAACAGGATGAATGTTGCTAAGTTCTTGTGGTAAACGAAGTTTGTATGTTACAGGACCGATCCTAGCGAGGATCTCGAATGGTCCAATGTATCTCGGATTCAGCTTTCCACGCTTTCCGAAGCGTATCATGCCTTTCCAGGGTGAGATCTTTAATAAAACAGGGTCACCAACCTGGAATTCCAAGGGTTTTCGTCTCTTATCGGCATAGCTCTTTTGTTTATCTCTTGAAGCTTTTAGTCGTTCCCGGATTTGTATGATCTTTTCTGTAGTTTCTCGGATGATTTTTGGGCCTGTTGTAACATCCGGAATTCCAGGTATTATATTTTATCATTTATTTTTGAGAAAAGAGAGGGACTCGACGAGTCGAGTCGTAGACTCGTCGAGTACGACCGCGAATGCTGACTGGATTTAATGAATAGACTCGGCGAGTCGATGCATGGACTCGGCGAGTCCGCTCTGTTAAATGAAACCCTAAATCTCAGGGCCTGAGCCCTATTTAAAGGCCTTTATGGCCTCCATTTGCGGCTACCTGTCCAGAGAGAGTACCCCTTGAGAGCTTGAGCGAGTTGAGAGAGAGAGATAAAGCCATATTGATCGATTTTGGTGTAACTTAGCAAAGGAGAAGTTGTTTCCAGCAAGAGGAGGTCAAGGGAGCTGTGGATCCAGAGTTTTCAAGTTCAGATCTAAGCTGTTGAGGTATCTAATCGAACTCCTTTTCTGTTTTGGGTTAAGATCTATGATCTAGGGCTTCCTTTGCACCATTTTGAGTTAGATTGTGAAGCATAGGGGGTCCCTTTGAGTATAGATGATAGATCTGTACCTTGAGAGGTCCAAAAGGTCCCAAGCTTCCAGCTTTATGAGGTCTCATGTGAGCCTTGAGAGTAAAATCACATTTAAAAGGTTATTCCTCCATTTTTGGTCTTATAAGCATTGCATGAATGTAAAGTTTGAACCTTTACGTGACTTTCGAGTGTTAGAAGGATGGATCTACTATTTGGTGAAGCAGATCTGACCTCAAGAGATCTTTTGAGAGTTTTCATGGGAGGAACTCGTCGAGCCCATAAGAGACTCGACGAGTCGAGTCGGGTTGCCCCGCGACTCGCGACCTGTGGCGACCCGTGGAGTTTAGGGTTGACTCAGCGAGTCAAGTGAGGATCAGGGGCGAGGAGGACAGACATGTACTGGCCGAGTCACTCTAGTGCACTCGGCGAGTCTGGTCAAAATGGACAGTTAACTTTTGGGTTGACTTTTAGGGTTTGTCAACAATTGGGCCTTGGGCCTGTAGAGGGGTAGAATAGTCTTTTACCCTTCTAGGGATTTGCATGAGAGAATATCCAAATTGTGAGGAGACATTTATTTAGTGAAATTTATTATTGTGACTAGGTGGAGGCTAGGGCAGTATTCTGATATCGAGATTTTACCGAGATTCCCGAGGTGAGTCTTCTCACTATACTTTACCTAGAGTGGTAATCAGAGCTATGTGACAGTGTATCTTGTATGATATTTATGTGTTGTGATTCTATGTGATATATGATATGCATGATTCAGAGTTTACAGAGTTAGGACTAGTGGGTCCACAGAGTCATGGGACCAAGAGGGTCCCACAGAGATATTCGACCAGAGGGTCATCAGAGTTACAGCCTTGAGTGGCTGATATGTGCTTATGTAGTATTTTGGGGAACTCACTAAGCATTTATGCTTACAGAGTTTTGTGTATGTGTTTCAGGTACCAGTGATGATCGCGGGAAGGCGCCGTCATGATCTGTACACACTCATGGAGCTTTTGTTTATATGATTCTGGGATATGTTTTTCTATGATGACAGTGGATACATTATGTTTATTATTATCTTATGAATGAAAGTATGTTTTAAAATTGTGAAAAATTATTCAAAAATTTGGGTGTTACAAGTTGGTATCAGAGCCTTGGTTTGAGGGATTCGGGTGCACCTTCGGGCGTATCTGAACTCAAACTGAGGATTTGAGGGATTTTCAAAATAAAATTCATAAAATTTTCTCAAGAGTAAAAAGTTTTTGAAAGAGCAGAGCAGAGCAGTGTGTACGATCAGTCAGCGCCCGAACGGTGATTTCCCAAAATAGCCTTGCATTATGAGTTATGAGATATGTTATGATATAATATGCATGCTAGAGTAGGCTAGGTATTCTTATTAGGACTAGAGTGGCCTGATTTGTGATGCCTTAGCCTACAGATTTTGCTGCTAGGAGATGCTTGAGAGTGAATAGATAGCAGCGAGGAGCTTATGAGAGATCTGCTAGAGAGTAGACTATGTATAGAGAGAATAGAGTACTCGGGACTTGGGATCCTAGGAGGAGGACTTGGGGTGAATATTGATGCGGTGTGGACGGTAGTATTGGGCCCGTACTACCGAAGGCACCGGATCAGTGCGCAGCCCAAGTAAGAATCCTTAGGGTACCAGGGATCAAGTAGGAATGGGATATCGAGTGTGTGTACACTCGAGCGAGTCTCTGATATCTTGTGTTGTATTCCAGAGAGACATCATGGTTGGGACACGCCACAGGCCAGGGACTAGCGAGGGGGTGTGAGCGATGAGGAGCTCCGCCAAATGATCCATGATGAGGTGGCTGCGGCCATCCGCGTTGAGATTCCAGAGATGTTCGGGTCTATCAAGACCACACTGATTGAGACTTTTGATGAGCGGTATGCTGCTCTTACTGATGCTGCTGTTGTTGCAGCCACTGCAGCAGTTGCTGCTGCCAGGCCGCAAGGGGGTGACGCGTTGATGTACCGGGAGTTCAGCAACACGAAGCCACCAGAGTTTGATGGGACTCAGGATCCTATAGCCGCGATGAGGTGGATCTCTGATATTGAGGGGTGCTTCTACACATGTTCATGTCCGGAGCATATGAGGGTACGGTTCGCTTTGAACCAGCTTCGCTTGGGAGCGAAGGACTGGTGGAAGTTTGTGACAGCACACTTCACTTCTGCAGAGCTCGCTGCGGTGACCTGGGAGAGGTTCACCACTATGTTTCGAGATGAGTACGTTCCCCCGGTGGAAAGGGAACGTTTGGCCCAGGAGTTTTTGACCCTCAAGCAGGGTACCGAGTCTGTTACAGTGATCACCAGGATGTTTCATGAGAGGGTGATGTTCTGCCCTGAGCACGTGTCTTCCGAGCAGGCACGCATGAGCAGATATTTGAGTATTTTGAGGAGAGATATCCGCGAGTTCGTGGCAAACTCGACATACCGGACATTTGCCGAGCTTCAGGAAAATACCCGGAAGAGAGAGATTGAGCTAGAGACTCAGGCCAGGGAGGAGGCGGAGTCTCAGGGGAGGGATCGGCGACCGGCACAGTCCCAGCCGGCTGCCAAGCGGGCTAAGCCCGCCGATTCGAGATCAGGGAACCAGAAGGGCCGCACTTGTGGTAAGTGCGGCAAGAGTCATGAGGGGGTATGCAGAGCAGGGTCTTGCTACAAGTGTGGCAAGGAGGGGTACATGGCCAAGGATTGCCCCAAGGGGTTTGCAGTGTGTTTTCACTTCAACAAGACCGGACACCGAAAGGCCGAGTGTCCGCAGTTACGAGGGTCAGCTTAGGGAGCTTCTCAGGGATCTGTCCCTGCTGCTGTTCGAGCTACGGAGAGTCAGTCGGTGAAGGCCGAGGCGCCGAAGGCTCGCGGGAGAGCCTTCCAGTTGACAGCGGAGGAGTCCGCGCAGCACCCGATGTTGTGGCTGGTATGTATTCTTTCATCTGTTTATTTTGAGTTTGTGGTGTTATGCTTATATTGTGATATGCGTAGGTACATTTCTTGTGTGTTCTGTACCTGCGTTGGTGTTATTTGACTCGGGTGCGAGTCGGTCTTTTGTGTCGTTAGCCTTTAGTCAGCACATTAGTACTCGTCGAGAGGCGTTAAGTCGACCTTTGCGAGTTTCCATAGCTGACGAGAGAGCAGTGTATGCCACTGATGTGATTCGAGGATGTGTACTCGAGATCTTCGGCGTTGAGTTTCCGATTGATTTGGTCCCGATTGCTATGGGAGATGTATGTGTCATCGTGGGCATGGACTGGTTAAGCAGATTTGGAGCGGTTATCGACTGCGAGCGACAGCTGGTGACCATACGAGACCCTAGTGGGGGAGTTCTTACGGTTTATGGTGAGGGTACCCGTTCTAGGTCAGCATTTTGTTCAGATGCGAGAGCGAGGCAG